TATTCATCAACAGATGATGGCGCCATTACTTATAGTTTTTCCTCGCTTTAAAAGTCTTTTCAGATCTACTCAGTTGACTCAAATAGCGGATTCTTTTGGAGTCTGAAATCAAATAATTTGTTACAAATCTTATCCCTAAGCAATGTACTAGGCTCAAGAATATTGTTACTTAGGATTGATATCGTCCCTATTGACTCTTCAGCTTACTCAGATTTAAGAAGATTCTAACTTCGACGATAATGAAACTTCAATAATCATTGTTCCTATTCCATGTTTTAGTCTCTTTGTCTGTACACATCAGTTCATAATTGAAGTTATATGTAGTCTGGAAGCAGTTTAAATGCTCAACCCTTGAGCGCCTATTTCCCTCTTTTCTCACCACCACTGTCATCTCTCTCTTTATTTTTATCTTCACATTCATCTCTAATTTCTTCACCTTCATATTCACCTTCATGCTAATCAAGAACATTATTTATAATTTTTTTTAACAAACTTACCATAAACACGCAGCACTGCAGAGGAACTAGTTATATTTTGTTTGTTTTTTACTGTACATTTGTAAGTCCCCTCCATCTCTTCTGTGACACGTGGCAATTCCAGCAGTGACTCTCCTTCTTGATCAGTCTGATGGATACCAGATGGCAGGTCACCATTATTAAAATCCCAGACAAATGTTGGTGTTGGAACACCTGAGGCTACGCACTTAAAGTTGCCAAGGTATCCTTTGGTAACAGATTGGTCTGTCGGAGGCGCAATGATCTGAGGAGATACTTAAAGTAAAAAGATCACCAGGTTAAACAGAGGGTCGCATTGTCCATTCTATTTAACACTCCACCCCCTTCCCTTCACACTTTGTTTCAAAATAAAAGCAAACTACGTAAATCTCAAACCTATTTTCAATCCAAGTTATTCCGTAATCAGTTTTCTTCACTTTTGGTAAAGGAAGGTATAGCCCAGCCCAATGTGACATGAAAACACTTTTTTTTATTTTCATTTTACAAAAAAATATTCTCCTATCTTAGCAATACTACAGGGCAATGATGATTTGATTATCTATTCATTCATTTCTTCGTCCTTTTCTTATTGGTTAGTAGGTGAAATAGGTGTAATGCCAACAAGCCATGCCACCATTTCCCAAGATTACCAGTTTTCTTCAGTTCATAGTATCCAATTCTAGCTTGGCAAAGATGGTGAAAAA